CAAATGGGATTATTTGATACTATCAAAATTATATATATTCAGAGACTAAGTATTAGTCTATTGTCACTCCTGCTTGCCGTCTTAATGTACTGACAAGGACAGGTAAGTTATGCAAGTCGTCAAACTTCTTGATAGTCTGCAAGGCAGAGGCTACCACAAATCTGGAGGGCAATTCAATATCTTATAATCCCAGGGACATTGTCGCATTGTCGCCCTCACAAAAACAAACAAAAAGTGGCAAAAGAGTGACAAAAGAACATTTTGGCCATTGTCGCATCATCGCTATGTCAAGCTTTGAATAATATTTTTTTATTCGTCCAAACAGCGAGAATGTGACAATTTTCAAGTTTAAAATATGCTGTGTTGTCAACCTATCTAAAAGCCTTAAAATGTGTGACAATGCCACAGTGCCTCATAAGATAAGATATTTATTGCATAGCATTCCATGAAGAAACAGTGGCAATATTCTATAAACTACAAATATAAACACAGCAGGTACAAGAAATACAGATACCTTTCACACATCTTGGAGTGATATGTGAGGATATCTCGTCTAAAGAATTTACTGGTCAGCCGCTAATGTCTTTTGATCCTGTCTGTGATACTGATATTAGAAAGATCATTATGTCCTCCAAGATAACAAGCTGTCACCTGGATCCTGTACCTACCAAGTTCTTTATGAAAATTCTTGACACTCTTCTACCCACAGTCACAAGTATTGTCAACAAAAGTTTGGTAACTGGCATCTTTCCCTCCTGCTTCAAAACCGCCGTGATAAAGCCCCTTATAAAGAAGCATTCACTAGATTCTGAACAGTATTCCAACTACCTAACCGGTTTCAAACTTATCTTTTGTCTAAAGTGCTGGAGAAAGTTGTGAAACACCAGTTAACTCGACACCTTAATAAGTTTCAGTTAATGGACAAGCATCACTCTGCGTACAGAGCGTCACACAGTACAGAAACAGCTTTGAATTGTGTGTTGGACAAGGTCATTAGTGCTGTCGACTATAATAGCATTGCCATGCTTGTTATGCTGGACCTTTCGTCTGCATTTGATACCATTGACCATGACAGGTTAATGGATCGACTGCATACTGAATTTGGTATCTCTGGAACTGTTCTGAAATGGTGCCTCTCATACTTGTCTGACAGGACTCAGTCTGTACAAATTGGTGAACTCCAATCATCTCCCTCAGTACTCAAATGTGGTGTACCCCAAGGTTCCGTGTTGGGACCAGTCCTCTTCACGATGTATACTAAATCCTTGGGTCACCTTATAGCACAGTACCGGATCACTAGCCACTTCTATGCTGATGATTCGCAATTGCTTGATAAATTGGATCTGTCAGAGACTAACCAAGCCTCCACCATACACAACATGGAGTTGTGCCTCAGTGACGTCAAGTCCTGGATGACAGCAAATATGCTGAAAATGAATGACAGTAAAACAGAGGCAATACTCTTTGGTCCACCTGCTAGGCTGAAAAAGTGTCACTTTCATCATCTTCAAATTGGGGACTCTTCGATCCATTTCTCCAGTGTTGTGAAAAATCTGGGAGTCTACTTGGATAGCAGTCTCTCCATGGAAACTCATATAAATCAGCTGTGCAAAACTATTCACTATCACCTCCGTAACATATCCAGCATTAAGCCACCAACTGACCCAAGACACCACCGCGCTCTGCTTGTTCGCTCCCTCATTCTGTCAAGATTGGACTACTGCAACAGTCTGCTTACACGTGTCTCCAAAACCCAGATAAAGCGCCTACAATCTCTCCAAAATAAAGCTGCCCGTCTTGTTAGCCGTTCTAAGCCGTCCAGTGACATACAGTTCATTCTGGATTCCTTACACTGGTTACGGATCCATGAAAGAATTCATTTCAAGGTACTCACTCTCGCTTACCAGTGTGTTAACTCCACGGCTCCCTCATACTTGTGTGATCTTCTCACACCATACACTCCTGCTCGTGCCCTCAGATCCAGTAACCAACACCTGCTGGATCCTCCATCATTCAACCTCAAGACATTTGGTGCCCGTTCTTTTGCTTCAGTTGCAACCGCACTAACTCACTTCCACTTAAATTACGTACACCTCCATCCTTTCAAGTGTTCAAGCGTAACCTCAAAACATACCTTTTCAGTCGATATAACTGGTAACTCTCTCCAAGCTCATATTTACTACAATACTGATTCATGTGACTTTTTGATGTGTTTGTTTTTAAACATTTGTGCGCGCTTTGAGCATGCCCCTTTGTGGTATGGAGTATTGCGCAGTATAAGTACCCTTATTATTATTATAAATGATGTACATTATAACAACTTTTACAAATCATGTGGTATAATGACATGGAAATAATATATGAAGAGACTATGATAATATACAGAATTCATTTAAAGTTGTAAAGATGGTGACATATTTTGGAAATTGTGTCAGGACTTCTGTTTGTGAAAATTATTAGGAATTGTTCTTTTCTAGAGAGTGTAGCAAATTCTGTGTCATAATATAGCATTGTTATACTTGGTACATGATATTATATGGTGTTGCTCATCGTCTAAGACTTTGCACATTTCACAGAGAATGAATAAGTCGCATTGTTGGGTTGTCACCCTTTTCGATTACTGGTGCGCAGGTGTAGTCAGTCAGTCTATGCATGTACTGAAATAGTTATACACATATTCAGACACCAGTGGTCTGTTGTTACCTACAATGGTTTCAGAACCAGAATAGTAATGACAATGGGGGCTGCTGTTCTTGAAGTTAATGGTTTTTAAAATGTCTTATAAACCTATCTCTGATTTTCTCTGCAGTCAAGTAGGTTCCTTCCAGAATCGGGTAGACCTCTGCCGTGACTTTGCACCGATCATTTCTAAACCCAGGCTTTGAAGTACACGTTTCGAAACCTCATATCGGGTTATATTTCGATCATTTTGTAACCTAGGTTTTGAAATGGTCGTTATTTAACCTGATATATCAGGTTTTGTAATGACCATTATTTATGATTGATACAACTATGTTTTCCTATGACTGATCGTAAAATATCTCATTATTGCAAACTTCCATTAAATAGTGGTGATAACTGGTTTCGAACCCGCAACCCTTAGCTCTAGCTTTGCGGTTTTATCCACTAGGCTACGAAGGATCGCTGTGGAGAATGGGATTGTTTGTCAGTATGAACCATGTATTCCTCACAAGACGGGTACTGCGGGCAGCGCACATGCAGGATACGGTAGCGCGTGTTGACACTACCTGTTTCATCATTTGCGGGCTGTTCCATCAATGTTGTTCTTCTCAGTACATGCACAAATTGAAAATAATACATATTTGTGTTTTACATTCATGACGGTTCATAAGTCGGGTCGGGATGAGAGCAGCAGTGACGGAGCTTGTAAAACTGAGGACGAAGCTCGGAGTCTTGTTTTATCCTTTACTTCTCTCCAGACCATCTTTTTGCCATATTGATCAAATCTACAAAAATACCTCCCTCAAAACTTTTAACTTTTGTAGTAAGGACTGCTTTGAGGGTCTCGGTTGCCATGTTGTCCTACCCTGACTGGCATCTGTTCTGAAGTGAGGGCTGCTTTGAGGGTCTTGATTGTCGTGTTATCCTGACTGACTGGCATCTGTTCTGAAGTGAGGGCTGCTTTGAGGGTCTTGATTGTCGTGTTATCCTGACTGACTGGCATCTGTTCTGAAGTGAGGGCTGCTTTGAGGGTCTTGATTGTCATGTTGTCCTGACTGACTGGCATCTGTTCTGAAGTGAGGGCTGCTTGGAGGGTCTTGCTTATCGTGTTATCCTGACTGACTGGCATCTGTTCTGAAGTGAGGGTTGCTTGGAGGGTCTTGATTGCCGTGTTACCCTGACTGACTGGCATCTGTTCTGAAGTGAGGGCTGATTTGAGGGTCTTGATTGCTGTGTTACCCTGACTGACTGGCATCTGTTCTGAAGTGAGGGCTGCTTGGAGGGTCTTGATTGCCGTGTTACCCTGACTGACTGGCATCTGTTCTGAAGTGAGGGCTGCTTGGAGGGTCTTGATTGTCGTGTTATCCTGACTGACTGGCATCTGTTCTGAAGTGAGGGCTGCTTTGAGGGTCTTGATTGCCGTGTTACCTTGACTGACTGGCATCTGTTCTGAAGTGAGGGCTGCTTGGAGGGTCTTGATTGTCATGATATCCTGACTGGCATCTGTTCTGAAGTGAGGGCTGCTTTGAGGGTCTTGATTGTCATGTTGTCCTGACTGACTGGCATCTGTTCTGAAGTGAGGGCTGCTTGGAGGGTCTTGATTGTCGTGTTATCCTGACTGACTGGCATCTGTTCTGAAGTGAGGGCTGCTTGGAGGGTCTTGATTGTCGTGTTATCCTGACTGACTGGCATCTGTTCTGAAGTGAGGGCTGCTTTGAGGGTCTTGATTGTCGTGTTATCCTGACTGACTGGCATCTGTTCTGAAGTGAGGGCTGCTTTAAGGGTCTTGATTGTCGTGTTACCCTGACTGACTGGCATCTGTTCTGAAGTGAGGGCTGCTTTGAGGGTCTTGATTGTCATGTTGTCCTGACTGACTGGCATCTGTTCTGAATTGAGGGCTGCTTGGAGGGTCTTGCTTGTCCGTGTTATCCTGACTGACTGGCATCTGTTCTGAAGTGAGGGTTGCTTGGAGGGTCTTGATTGCCGTGTTACCCTGACTGACTGGCATCTGTTCTGAAGTGAGGGCTGATTTGAGGGTCTTGATTGCTGTGTTACCCTGACTGACTGGCATCTGTTCTGAAGTGAGGGGCTGCTTGGAGGGTCTTGATTGCCGTGTTACCCTGACTGACTGGCATCTGTTCTGAAGTGAGGGCTGCTTGGAGGGTCTTGATTGCCGTGTTACCCTGACTGACTGGCATCTGTTCTGAAGTGAGGGCTGATTTGAGGGTCTTGATTGCCGTGTTACCTTGACTGACTGGCATCTGTTCTGAAGTGAGGGCTGCTTGGAGGGTCTTGATTGTCATGATATCCTGACTGACTGCATCTGTTCTGAAGTGAGGGCCTGCTTTTTCCTGAGGGTCTTGATTGTCATGTTGTCCTGACTGACTGGCATCTGTTCTGAAGTGAGGGCTGCTTGGAGGGTCTTGCTTATCGTGTTATCCTGACTGACTGGCATCTGTTCTGAAGTGAGGGCTGCTTGGAGGGTCTTGATTGTCATGTTATCCTGACTGACTGGCATCTGTTCTGAAGTGAGGGCTGCTTTGAGGGTCTTGATTGTTGTGTTACCCTGACTGACTGGCATCTGTTTTGAAGTGAGGGCTGCTTTAAGGGTCTTGATTGTCATGTTATCCTGACTGGCATCTGTTCTGAAGTGAGGGCTGCTTTGAGGGTCTTGATTGTCTTTCTATCCTGACTGACTGGCATCTGTTTTGTAGTGAGGGCTGCTTTGAGGGACTTGATTGTCTTTTTATCCTGACTGGCATCTGTTTTGAAGTGAGGCCTGCTTTGAGGGACTTGATTGTCATGTTATCCTGACTGGCATCTGTTCTGAAGTGAGGGCTGCTTTGAGGGATATGTTTTTACTTTCTATCTTGTCTCTGAGGACTTATTTTTGTGACGGTACTACTTAGAAGGTACCTGAACTTGTAACCCGGCCCCATGAGATGTGTTTCTGTGACATATTCTTGGGTGTTGTTGTTTTCTATAACACACCGTTGTTTAGCCATCTGTGAATCATGGAGCCAATGGTCCGATTTTGTTTAACGCTCAGTGTGAATATGTATTTTGAATTTGATCCAAAATATGCAGATTAGTAACTTTAAAATAGTTAACGGGTACTTGGATCATGTGGATACCTGTCATTTTCCTCTCACTTTAGTCAAATGGAATAGGAAAATGTATTTATTGTTAATTGTTATGGAATAGCATATACCAGAGTACTTTTAACTACAAATCTCAAGCAGAGCCATGTGTACAGTGTTTGAGGACTGTAAACTAGTCATATTATGAGATAACAATAACCAACCTTTTTTCGAAGGGGTGATGTTTTATTTTAAGGGTGACATTTTTGTGTTTTGGGACTCTTTTAGGGGTCATATACTGATATAATCTAATTTGTGTAACTTAATTCAGCTCTAAGAACATGATGTAAGCCCTATTGGATAATATTCATCTTGTTGGAGGGTATAGATATTGACACTAGGCCACACAAGAGTGAACATTTTGACAAAATATTAAGAATAGAACAAAGTATATATATACAAGTATCATACTTGAAAATGATACAAGAACCTGTATTGAAATGTCGTGCTCTAGAATAAAGAAGTTGCCATCCATATATACTTGTTCTATCTGACTTCCAACTTCTAAAATGCCACTCAAACAAAGAAGTCAAAATATTAAGAAGAAACACATCTGTGATACATAGCAAATAGCAGATCTGGTCCAAATTTTACTGAGACCCACAATGTCAATCTTCAGTAAAAATTTAAGACTCATTACAACAGTTTACATTTTTGTTTGAAAAATAATTTGTCCTATACTGCTATACATTCAGTTTATAAACAAAATACAAAAAGGTCCAAACAATAAATACTGACGTGGTCTGAAACAGATGTGTAACTCAAAAATATTTTTTTCCTCGATCTAAATTTGGGTGAGAAACCTGTGTTAAACTGGTAACAGTAACTGTGACTGAGAAAAGAATGAGACACTTCAGGGAGAAATGTTATACATTGCATGAAATATGGTCTATCACTGGCAACCACTTCGCCATATGTTTTTACCAGGAGCTAAAGGTTAGTACTTTTGTCCTATTGACAAGCTGGATGAAGTGTGTTCAGAATTGAAACAAATCAAGTCAAACACGACTTGTCATCAATTCTATACTCACAGCCCAAGTCAATATACAAATCGAAAAAGTGAAGTGATTCACACCATTGTTTGAGCAATGTGTACCGTTAGAGCTACTCAACCGAGACCATGAGCAAGACTCCCCTAACAGTTATATAGAACATACGCTTAAAATATTGCTCACGCGTTCAAAATATAATTTGTAACGATCAAATGTTTTGAAAACTCACCTGCTCTCTTGCTAAAGTGAACCATGTTTTTAAGATGACTCCAACGCGTGTCTCATGGAACTTTTTTGAAGTTTTTACACTGATGAAAATGTCAGAAAGTTCTGTACGTCTGTGTTGACGATGTTTGAAAAGTAATCTGTCGTCGAACGCTCCATTTTTTGTCACCGCACTGACATGAGCTAATTTGTGTGCATCTTCAGGAATAGACTTTGCACTTCTTTGCTTCCTATGAAAGTGAATATTCTTAAATGCATCTTCAACAGGTCTTTGGTTTCCGCCATTGTTGACTTGGACTTTCGAAGGACTGTCACCAACTTTTCTCTGATAAGCATGAGCGAGCAGGCCATCTAGCCGAAAAAGTGAAGATCTCACAAATAAACAAAAAGCAACGAAAGCGGTCAATATCACCGCATTTCGTAATGAACGACGCATAATACGTCCCCACATATCCAACGCGAGTCATGCGATGGTTCTGATTTGCGATACCCTACATTCCAGTGCACGACTGTGGGAACTTTCGTCTCTCGCGACCTCGCTGACAGCTATAAATAGCCCCACGCGGGGTCGATGTTGAAGTTCTAAAGGCCAGTGGGCATGCGTAAAGACAGTCGGTGGTTAACTTCCGTCAACAAAATGGCAGGTGATTCTTGGTAAGTCACGAGACGCCGATGTCATAATTGAACAGAAGTTATAATTAAGAATAAAATTCTACCCGAAATGAGCAGAAGTGCTATCTATTTGTGTTCCTCAATGTTTCATAAACTGGATGTTCCATTTCCAAACTCTCAGACGAATATTGAATGGATGTTTGTGATTTCGTTGAAGTGTTTTGACGCAATTCCGTGCCATAAAACCATCTTCACGCCTCCCAGTTAGCCAGTGTTCACGAATAGCGTCTGACCCTCTGACAAATCAGGCAGATTTGCCAACGGTCCGATAGAAGTCTGCAACCCGCCGGCCCCAATGTCAGACTCTATATTTCACAATGACTTTGACTGAAGTTGTTATATGTGACATGTGACACTTGTTTGCCCTTTATAAATCTTACGTTTGTTAAAAATTTCAATGCCAATTATAAGAAATGTTGAATATGAAATGTGTGTTTAATTTTATTCTATGGGTCCTGTGAATTTTGAATGGGTCAGACAGACATCTGAAACTTACAGGACCCAATGTCCTGTTACTTTGAAACAGCATCCGTGAACACTGGTTAGCTGTTGATCAAGTTACAACAATCGCCATGAAATTCCATTAAGTGAAATATATACTAAAGCTTGTTATTCACGTTTGAGTGGAAATAAATAAGGGAAAGATTTCCACCCGTACAGTGTTCACGAATGGTGTTTCGAAGTAACACTACCAGGACATTGGGTCCTGCAAGTTTCAGATGTCTGTCTGACCCATTGAAAATTCACAGGACCCATAGAATAAAATTAAACACACATTTCAGATTGAACATTTCTTACAATTGGCATTGAAATTATTAACAAAAATAAGATTTATAAACAGCAAACAAGTGTCACATGTCACATATAACAACTTCAGTCAAAGTCATTGTGAAATATACAGTCAGACACTGGGGCCGGCAGTTTATAGTCTTCTATAACTGTTGGGCGGTGATAACTGTTCGGCAGCCAGTATAGGATCTTTTGGTCACTTAACGAATACCTGATCTTTGTGTAAAGGGGTTATTGACTGAAAAGACTAACTTACCCAAGCACAATTTATTTACTTTTAACATTGTAGTCATGCTAGTGACACAGCCAGTTAGTGAACAGATTGTATAATTGCAGCTTATCACTAAATCAATGTTGTCTTTGGTTTTGTTTACTTGGAGGGTAATTATAATTAGTTGATCCCAATACATGATTCAAAACTGACAGGGTTTGCCAAGTAAGTACATTTGGTTTTATTTTTAAATGATTAGAAGTTTGATTTTTCAAAATATATTATCAGATTACTTCTAAAAGGCCTTGAATGTTTTGTGTGTTGATTACTGACATGTCGATGCATCTCTGTCTATCTTCAGTTTCAGTTTTGTTTAGCCCAAGTATGCAATATTTGAATGTGTGTTTTGTTTTATATAAGAAAGTTCTTTTGGATTCAAGACTGTTTGATGTTGTACTGTCTGATATTAAATGAAACACTGCTGATAACTATTCTCCTATTCTTTGATAATCCACTCGTTTGTCTCCTTTATAGCCTGGATAGGGATCTCTCATTGATCACTCATGTCAAGGGTCAAGCTCATCCTCAAGAAGTATAGACTGTTCATAAATTAGACTTGAAAAACATCCATAATCTGAAAAGTTTGTCAGTTAACTGTGTATGAGGTTGAAGTTACATTTAAGGTGATTGTATTGATTGTTCTTTTACAGAAAAAAAACCTTATCCTGCTGACAATTACATTTAACTTGTTTAAGGTGATGGTAAAGACTGTTCTATTATAGAAAAAAACCATATTGTGCTGACAATTTTAAAGTTTTATGTACATGAAGTAGTGTGTATTCTTTCATTACACATGTAATTACAATCTTTATAACAGACGAAGGTCACAGTAGCCTTGTATTTTTTTGTTAAAGAAAGCTTTTCAAATTTTTCACTGAAACTACACTTGCACTAAAGCTTAAATTGGAAAAACCAAAGAATGGAATTCCTCATGTATTTTCAAAGTACCCCAGTTCATATGTTTTTGCCATATCAATCAGCTATTTTATGGCCAATGTCTTTTCATTTACTCAAGATAATTGCAATATTATTTATTAATATTTAACAAGTGGTTACTATGCAATACGTTTCAGCACAGATAGCATATGTTCCTAAGTATTATATTTACTACCAATTGTATCTTTATGAACGACATTTCTTAAGAGCCACCTGTGTTATTTCAGTTCTATCTTTTGAAGCATATGATGTACTAATGCTTAAAGTTGCGAGTTTTTTGCAAGGTAAGGCCTAAAAAATTGTTGTGGTTCGATTACCCGACCGACCCTTGAATTCTGGTGCCGACCCTAGTTTTTTTAGAGGTATGAATAAAATAAGCTTTCAGATACTATTGTTTTTCCCTGGCACCAACGGACATTGGTCATTCTGATAAAGAAAGTCAACATGATGGCCTCAAGCTTGATTGAATAAACACTTACACATTGATAAATGTATTGTTAGTTCATACTTTACTTCTAAAAAAAGTAAGAATCAGAGAGGAACCTTTATGTCTTTTTTATGTTGTTTTCTGAAGACCTACAGGTATGTCCATCCCTTTTTCTCTATCGGCAGAATATAGCTTTTTGTCTTGCTATTTTTCAACATAAACAGTGCTTATCAAGTAGTTTCATTTCCAAAACAGTCCAGATATCACAAGTAACTAAATTAGATTTTGCATTATATTGATCATATTGTTTTTATGAAACCACAATGGTCTTTCTAAAATGCCCCTAGAGAATGAGAATGTTGTTTTTTTGTCTCAGGATTAATTTTATTGTGGATATGTTTTGGGCCTAGATTAATCAGTTGGCACCAATTACAGTATGATCTAAGGGGGGTAACTCTGTAGTGATTAGTATGGAAAAATATAGCCCTCATACTTTCAATGTGAGGAAAATTTGTGTATATTTTCACACAGCTATATTATCATTAACTTTTTTCTTCCCCTTTAAGTTCATGATGAAACATGTGAGTGAGTGAGTTTAGTTTTACGTCGCACTCAGCAATATTCCAGCTATACGGCGGCGGTCTGTAGATAATAAAGTCTGGACCAGACAATCCAGTGATCAACAGCATGAGCATCGATCTGCACAATTGGGAACCAATGACCTGTGTCAACCAAGTCAGTGAGCCTGACCACCCGATCCCATTGGTCGCCTCTTACGACAAGCATAGGTTACTGAAGATCAATATTCTAACCCGGATCTTCACGGGTTGATGAAACAGGATACTTAAGTGGGGATTCATTGTTTGTGATTGTTGATACTAATGATGTCATATGGAAGGCTGATAAGGGGAAATGATGTACATTCTTGGTGTCAGTTAGGTGCTCACTAGCTGCCCAATGTTAAGTATATTAATCACACAAAAAGAAGTATATTAAACACTCAAAAAGAGAAGAAATAATTATCGTGTTTTGTTATTTAAAAAAATAAAAGTTTCAGTTTTCTTTTAAGCTTGTCCTTTTAGCTAGATATATATTTATTTAATGAGTGTTTCCATAGAGAAAAAGAGTCATGTTTTGGGTAGAACAGAGAATGAGGGCACAAATGTGCCAGTGGTCTCAGGAACTGAAGTTTCTTCCTTTTGACAGGATCTTCTTGTTTGGTTTGAATTCCTGGGTCAAAACCAGGTAATGATCCCTTAACCATTTTTATGTTGATGGGCTCGGGATTGAATACAGTGGTAAACATCTACAACCTGCTTCAATCTGCCTCCATGCTAACTGTAAGCTGACCACACTACCTCTTTGAAATTATTATTACACAATACATTCCCTCCTAGAAATGTTTCTGTATGTCACAGGTCATTAGACTTTGATGAGTGTTATGTCACAGGTCATTTGTAAATGATGTCTTACTAAATAGGTTGTCACACCCGTATGAATTATATTGAAATCTATTTTCTGTTCATGAAGTCCATTATGTTGCAGGTTATCAGACTACGATGTCTGTGCCCGACTTGGGCAAGAAATTATGGAGAAGATCAATGAGAGAAACAAGCACAACCGGACCAGCTCATCATACACAAAGGTACGGCTCTTTTGTCAGTGGCAGGAATTAAACCAAGACCTGCTTATCTGCTAGGAGACATGATTTGTTACTTCTGTTGATTAAGTACAGAAACAACAAGCACAGTGAACACATTAACTTGTCTGGTGATTTTGATGCAACTCCCCGACAAGCTGACTTGCACTGATTTATTATCTCTCAAAGACATCTGAAGTTGATGTATGTCTCCTATTCTGCTAATGTCCTCGCGCTTTTGGTTTGTCAAGGGTTAAAAGAAAAGTGTTATGCTTGGCCCAGGATCAGGTTTGAAATGAAAAAAATATTTTTTTAACTGCTTCTTGTATATGAACCAGTAGACAATTAGTACTATTGTTGTCTTGGCGTGTTCAGCTGTTTTCTTGGACAAGTATTGCCATGGCAGTCTTACTGTGTTCCTTGTGAAGAGAAGCACTTTATGTACCTTGCTGGATGATAATGAACATCATTGTTTAATAAGGTTCACCAAGATGTATTAAAATTATATAACTTTATTCATGGTGTATATTTTTAATATCTATAAAGTCATCTTTCTGTGAGTGTAATTTTTAATGTAGAAACAGGGAAAACACCATGTCAGCATTCTTGTATACATTATGAGCAAATTGTTTGTGGTATATTGTATTGTCTTGTGGAATTGAACTGGCTCATCTTCATTATTTATCATTTAGATTTGTTTTGGCTTCATAAAATACATATATTCTGTAATCAGGGAGAAGGATTAGGAGAGCCTGGGTTTCTTGGAGTCATCACAGAATAAGGACCACTAAATCGTGAACTGAGTTCCACAATATGCAGATGTGCAAGTCCAATAATGTGTTGAATGGATGCAGAAGAAATATATACCAGTATTGCACTCCCAAGGGATAATGACTGTAATATTCATAGAAGTAAATCCTTGTCATGAAATATACAGTTCCTTAATCAAAGTATTTATCAAATCATCCTGTGCAGTACACTTCTCCATTACATTGTTTTACAGGACCCTCACTTTTAATGTAAGGAGACTTGAAATTATTTGGGGTCACTAGACCTTGTGTTTTGTATTGCTTGAACTTTTAACAAGTATCCCTTGACTTTCATGAATAGCTTCAAACCATGGTGTCTGGTTTTAATTTGCTAGGCAAATATAGAAAATAGGTTCATCTTTGACATGGTAAAAAACAGATAGTTTTCATTTGCCAGTTTGCTATGTTTGCCTCTGCTGCATTCAGCCATATTCCATTGATGGTGTTATTGTATTAGCATTACTCAGGGATTTCATTGTAACGATACCTTCACACATTCACATTATCCATTCAAAACAAGAACATACTTAAAAGTGCACAGAACACCTTTGCTGATAACTCTGTCTCCTAAGCCATCAGGAGTTTCCCCCCCTTGATGTCTATCCTTATATGTTGTCAGGTTTAGTCGGGCACTTCTCCACTTGTGGTAGTTAATATAAGGGACCGTTCATAATTTATGGTTAGGGGGTGGGTGATGTTGATTTTATGTGGTGGTCACCAATTGTGTTCTAATTTTGTACATAAATTACTAAAAAGTTATGCTTAAATATTATGGGAAGGGGAGAGGGGATAATTGTTTTTGTACATGACATGCAGGGGTGGGGGTGAGGATCAATTTCTTTGTTCGTATATTTTAGGGAGTGTCATTCACATTGTACATGCTTCTCCTTGAAAACCTTCTTCATCCCCCCAGCCATAAATTATGAAGAGCCCCTAATAGAACAGGGTGGGGTGTTGGCAATCTCTGCAGTAACTAGTGTATTCGTACTCTTTTGTTTATTTGATTTTAGAAGTGAAAAAATAAAAAATTTAAGTCATGTTTCAGCAGCTTTGCTTCAGGACATAATGATTTGATTATTTAAAAAATATAATATTTTGAAATTACATGATTCTTACTTTTCAGGAAGTAGGGGCTTATCTAATACTCTACTTATTGTGACCTGAAATGATGATTAATATCCTTTTTTCCAGTTGTCTGCACAAGTTCGAGTGTCAATGAAACAGTTTTCTGGGGACCTTGGCAAACTTCGACAGAATCTAATGAGAGCCTCTTCATCCTACCATATGTATCCTTTGTTGCTGCACCCACTGAATATCAAGGTACCTACCTTGACTCACAATATCTACAAGCTGTATCACATTTCACCTACTGACAATATTTGGTCACCTCTGTGGAAGGTCATTTTTACTGCAAATCTCTCATATGTCATGAATGTGTCAACGCCAAGGGCAGTTTGAACTTGAAGGTCATTTTCCACTGAAATTTCTTGCAAACAGAATCATTTCTGGAGTATTGGAAGTTTGAAATGGAGACTTTGTATTTGTAATACCACCAAAGTTTGTGTTAGGCGATGTCCTGTGATTGAAGGTCAAAGTCACTTAGTCACATCAGTGTTTAAACAGAAGTGGTATGGGACTTGTATAGCAACATTCACTCCGACTGTCAACCATGGACTGGTTTGTTGAGTGCATTTTTGGTTTCCGTGGACATAGCTGCAGTGCAGTGAGTGAAACAACATTCGCACAGTCTATTTGGATTGTTATTTTTGGAAAGGCTGCTATTATCTCATAAGAATCCTAGTGTTTGATTTCATGCTGAACTGATTATATTTCAATGTTTGTCAGCACCATACCTGGGCTTGTGGCTTTCACCAGAGTGGTCCACAAAAAGCATCACTTTGGGCTTTCCTTCATCATGAACCTGACGTGCAGTGATATTGAAAATACTGTTCAAAGCTCATTGATGTAAACTCACTCAAAAGTGCAAAATACCCATTGGTTTGAGCAGTTTTAGATTTCATATTTTCCCTGTAAACAAAAGGGGCAGTGGGGTAGCTTAGTGGTTAAAGCGTTGACTCGTCATGCTGAGACCGGGTTGAATCCCCACATGGGTACAATGAAGCCCATTTCTGGTGTGTCCCCTGGAATATTTTCCATGTTGTTTCTTGAAATTTCTTCCCCGTATTGCTGGAATATTTTCATAAAGCAGTCAGTCAGTCAGTGTAAACAAAATAGAAAACTATGAACCATAAACCATGTGGCCTTGCTTGTATGTGACCAAAGTTTTGTTTGTTTCTCTTGTTAAAGGGAGGTAAGAAGTGTATTTCTTGGTTTGACATTGTCATCTGAAAGGATGTCTGGTGGAGGTTTGTAGTGGAGTGGGAATTGCACATTGAGATGTGATGTCAGTTGCTAAGATGTCAATTGCTGTGCTAAGAAAACCGTGGCATTGAACTGTGTTAAGTTCTCAACTTTGCCAAAATTTACTGTTATTTAAAATTAAATGAAGGCCTTTGCTAGATGAAGCGTAATGTCATGGATGCAGGTGATATTTTACTGGAGCTTCTAACACTTTTGGTTGATGCAACTACAAATCACTTGAGACTTTTCTTCTTCTGAATTTCATTATTTGAGTCCAACCAACAATATATAAATACCCCCAATATTATACCTGTAGTGACATGATGGGACCAAGTGTTAATCTGTTCCATGAGCTGCATGTTTCCCCTGCAGTTTTCCTGTTTGCCAGCGGTTTGCCATCATCTTCTACATCTCCCACATCTCCAGGGTTCGCATTTTGGTGAACCTACTCAAATCTCTGCCATCATACAACCTGGAGATGGCTTTGGTTACTAGGTAATACGGGTTGCCTTCATATCTCTTCCTTCCCTTGATGTTGGATTGGTATAATGTTAATGAAAATCATGGGCAAGTAATCTTGCAGTTTCCAGAACCACACCAGAGGTTAGTGTAGGTTTGACTGAAATACACACCTAGGGGTATAGAGGATGATTTTACATGCAGTATATCTTTGGTATGATATTCCTTAACCTGTCATCAGCACCCAGCGTGAGGTGGAACGGAGGCAGCTGCAGCTGGATGGCCTTACCACCAAAGAGAAACAGATGGAGCAGGCCTTCCGCAATGAGCGAGGTGGGGAGACCAGGTGAGCTACGTGTTATTAGTCTGACTAGTGGGTGCTCTTCTCAGGTCAGCTAGCAGCCAAGCCAAGTTTGATGCAGTTTATAAAAAGATTTGTTTTGTCTGCTACTGGAAATGTTTGCAGGTTAAATGCGTAGATTGTTACTCAATTTATTACTTTACACAATGTGTAGGCCTAGACTGACTTTCAGCATATTAACATGGAACATTGTCACTCTTTCAAGTAGTATATGCTGTACACATTCTGTACCGTGTTGTGTGAATTTTGTAATGTGTCATGTGTCAACTTAATACTGTGTTGTGCAAACATTTTCTGTATCATATGGTCATTCTAATTATGGTGCGTCTAGTTTAAACTCGGTACAGTGTCATGTGGTGTGAACTCTGCACGGTGTCATATTCTTTCAAACTCTTTATAGTGTTATGTTCATGCAAACTCTTCACAGTGGCATGTGGTGTAAACTCTGTACACTGTCAAGTCTCCTAAGGCTGCTTTCAAACATTTTCGTTTACAAAACTCTCAACTGGACTATATTATTATGTTGTTCTTTAATATTATTATATTATTATCTTTGTGTCTGTGTTATATATATTGAAAGCAAAATCAGATTGATGTATGTTGATAGTATTCTTGATGTTGAGATTGTGTAGCATCAGTCTGTCCTTCAAGAACAGAGGAATTTGAACAATGATATGTTTCAGGAAACTTACTATTAGGGATGCTCAGTGTTCCAAATTGACTGCTAGTAACTTTTCAACAGATTGAATAACTGGAACCTCCTTATTACTGGAGACATTTGTAGACATCCTGACTGATATCAAATGTGTCAGTTTCTATTCTTCAGAGTTTTTTCCTTGTTATTATTTATAAATTATGCAATATACTGGGATTATTGATGAAACCATATTTCCTTGCACCATCTGCATGAGATAATCATTCAGTGATAAGAGAGGTTTGTAAAATGATGTAGGGGAGACAACTCTTGGTGACTTAATTTTCCCTTCATCTTGCATCCATTTCAGAACGACTTTGTGCTGCTTTGAATATATTGTACATGTCTGAGTGTTTGTGAAAACTATTGATATGTAATACAAATATATCAATCTATATAGAGGATATTATATGAGTTCCCATGTTATACTATGTTTATGACACAAGTGCCTAAATGTTGGTATTTCCTGAGTGAGAGCGAGGGATCTACTGATATTTAGGCCCAAGTGTCGGAAACATAGTATGATATGGGCACGAATATAATATTCTATTTATTATGGAAGTTGTCAAATTGAAGAATATAAACCCAAATCTACTTTCAAACATAGGCTGGCTACTCACCATCTCCACATGTAGAACACAATGTCATATAAGAAACGTGATGTCATAGCATTGTTCATGACGTCACGTCACCATGACAAAGTGATGTTTTGCCCTAGGGCATCGTATGAAAAGTACGAACCCCGATATTTTCGCCCTCTTAGGTAATAAATAGAGGATATTATACGAGTGCCCATGTAATACTATGTTTACGACACGAGTGCCTAAATGTTGGTATTTCCCGAGTGAGAGCGAGGGATATACCGATATTTAGGCACGAGTGTCGTAAACATGGTATGATGTGGGCATGAATATAATATTCTGTTTATTACCGAAGTCGTCAAATTGAGGGAAATAACCCAAATCTACTTTCAAACAGGCTATCTACCCGCCGTCGCCGCATGTAGAACGCAACGTCACAGAAGAAATGTGACGTCATAGCATTGTTCATGACGTCACGTCACCATGACAAAGTGATATTTTGCATTAGGGCATTGTATGAAAAATATGAACCCCGATATGTTCGCCCCAAATAGTGCTGACATACTGTCACAGGGATTTAGTCTTGATAATTACAACTGGTAATCATGCTAAATTGTCTTGCACAAATTAGTCAGTTATTTTATTATTATTTTTATTTATATATATTTATATAGCGCCAATATCCAGATCACCTGCTCAAAGGCACTTTGTTTTTCCTTGATCATTGGATGTCAGTCTCAAACGGCACAATGTATTATCAATCTCAACTCCCTGGGGAGCATACAACTCTTGCAGCCACTAGGCGCACCGAGTTAATGTGGCTTTCCTGTCCTTGCGAGGTACCCATTCACAGCTGGGTGGAATGAGACATGTAGTCACAGTATTTTATCCAAGTTTACTGCACGTTGCTGTACCCGCAACTAGGTGTTTGCACGTATTCATGTGGCCACCATCTGGTCATATACCAACGGATTCGTGGGTTCTTTTAAGTGCACAGGGTTGTGTACTGTACATTAGGGGTTGTGACAACACTGCGAGAGTCTGCACGCAAAGTTGACTCCAAGGTTTTTACACCCAGTCACAGGTGGGCTCGATCCCGTCACCTCAAGCTCGCTGGATCACTAGCCTGGTGCCTTAGCCAGCTCGCCCACCACGCCCATCATGCCCCCTGATTTGCCTGATATGATGCTAAAATTATATTAGTATTCTAGTATATGACAACTGATCACAAGTTCAATCAGTAACTATAACACATTTTATTCTTTTGTACATTTTGAGTTGTTTTCTGATGGTTTGAATTTGTTTGTAGATATCTTAACCCAGCTAATAGCAGGTATGATTATTTTGAGTTTCGCCTTTTACTGAACCAAACCTGCAGAAACCATCACCCCATTAGGCAAATACTAGTAGGCCCACCCAAAAGCTTTCCCATACTGACTTAGCAAACTGCCACACACAGACACACAAACCCAGTAAGCTGCCACACACAGACACACAAACCCAGCAAACTGTTGCACAATGACACACAAACCCAGCAAACTGTTGCACACTGACACACAAACCCAGCAAACTGTTGCACACTGACACACAAACCCACACAAACCCAGCATACTGTCAGCAAACTGCCACCAGAGACATACAGACCCAGCAAACTGCCACATACAGATCCAGCAAGCTGTTGCACACTGACACACAGACCCAGCAAACTGCCACACACAGACCCAGCAAACTGCCACTCACAGACCCCGCAAACTGCCACACACAGACCCAGCAAACTGCCACACACAGACCCAGGAAACTGCTGCACACTGACACACAGACCCAGCAAACTGACACATACAGACCCAGGAAACTGCCACATACAGACCCAGCAAATTGTTGCACACTGACACATAGACCTAGGAAACTGCCACACACAGACCCAGCAAACTGCCACACACAGACTCAGCAAACTGCCACACACAGACCCAGCAAACTGCCACACACAGACTCACAGACCCAGCAAACTGCCACACACAGACCCAGTAAACTGCCACACACAAACCTAGCAAACTGCCACACACAGACCCAGCAAATTGCCACACACAGACTCAGCAAACTGCCACACACAGACTCACAGACCCAGCAAACTGCCACACACAGACCCAGCAAAGTGTGCCACACAGACCAAGGAACTAAACGTCTTCTCTCTACAAACTATCCCACTCAGTAAGATTTTTCATGCCTTAACACATGCATTCAACACAATTCTCCATCCTACTTGCTTCTTCTGCCTGTTAACTGCACCATTAACTAATTTACTCCACACTACCCCACCATACAGACTTCCTTACCCCATAAACTGCCCCATCACAGCAACTTCCCCTCCCCACAAACTACCACATCACAGCAACTTCCCCCTCCCCACAAACTGCCCCATCACAGCAACTTCCCCTCCCCACAAACTGCCCCATCACTCAGAGTGACCCCTGAAACTGCCCTCCACCCACCACAACCTTGCCTTGTAAACTGCCCCACCCAACAAACCACCACACCATTGACACCACTTCCCGCCATGCACAATTCCATGTGTTCTCAAGTTAAACAACGTGTAATAACGTAAATATCATTGTTATATTATTATGTTCTTTCAAGCTTTCGTATTTATTTTGGTTTTGCTAGAAGAAATAGAAGCAAATAAAATTGCAGTAGGGTTGATAATCATGTAAGAAAATACTTGGTAAGACTTGGTTATCGCGTTTGTCTTGGCAAAAACCTTCAATATTTGTTCCTGACCAGTTGATCATATCCTGAGTCTGTAGTTTGCTATATTCCCAGAAAATTAATCTGACTTTATATACCATGTTGAGTTATGCGATAAAATCATGAGTCCCCTTTCTGATGATGATCATCAACACTTGCATCCCACTAGAACTATCCAGTCATATAAACGTATATTAATGTTTCAAGAAGTGTATTCAAGGCCATCTGCCCATTACACATATGGTTTGAAGACAGGTTATATTTGAGTGATACAAGTCTTTTTCAATTTCAAATTGAACTTCAGTGTAAGACTCTAAGAATACTGTCTTCTGTTCTTTCTTTTGTAATCCATGTTCACCGGTAAATTTTGGCTGAAAATGATATTAATTAATGTGATTGTTCAAAGTGGTTAGGAAACAGTCTTTCATTTTGTATCATGATGCAGAGTGTGACAGTATGTTGGTTACTTGAAGGTTTGGATAAACTGAAGTGTTTGAAAAGTGTGCATTCTGATACTTTTGAAGTCACTGAAGAGTTATTCACCCTTTTGCCATCAACAGATTTCTCTGTTTTTGTGTGGTGTCTTTTTATCAATGGCTTCTTGGCAGAAAATTTGTGTAATATTCATTTAATTTGTATCTAGCTGCTAATTTTAGGAAAGATGTCATTAAGATTGTAAACATATCGGTTGCAATCTACATGTGCTGGTATGTTTCATGTTAATGCTCAGTACACAGTATTGAAGTTGATAGTCCACAGACACTCACAACTCATGTCTTATAAAGAACTAGAAAATACTGCAAGCTTCAAAGTCTGATCTAAGTCTGTTAGACATCTTTGATCCTGTTAACTTCCGATCAAGGTCCAGCATTTAGTTATATGCTTCTTGTCTTGTGCTAGGTGATGTCAAGAGTAATGTATCTTTGTGTTGCTGAATGTTCACGTGGTAACCAACACACTGGTTATCT